AAACCTATATATTAACATTTACTATTCTAGCATAATGTGTGTAAATTTTGAGAGTTTTGGTTGTTGAGACAAAATATATAGGTATCTGAATTAATTTAGGATTCGCATTGCTCAAAACAATTATGTTTCATATGATCACTTTAAATAGTTCTGAAACCAAAATTCAGTATACGTAAATCAAATTTGTGACATAAAATCTATATCCTTTTTTTAGCATTACGAGTTTTTTTTAATGAATCTGTTTTTAATTATCCTGTGTAAATTAAATGTACATCAAAATGACAATTGTTTAATTGCTTATCGAAGCGGAAATTATTGTATTTGCACTTTTTATTCATTTTAAAATAAAATGTAAAAATAACGAGGATTATAAATAATTAAAATATTATAGTAGTAATTATAAAGTTTTTATTATTTATTCATATTGAATTTCAAAAAGTTCTCATATAAAGAGATCTGAACTCTGTAATTTATATTTTGGGTTCTGACAATTTGTGATAAGCGTGTTGTTCCGAAAGAATTTATAATAATCTGAATCATATAAGTATTAAAGAGCTGCAACCCTTATTGAATTTCTAAAACGAAATTTACACAATTACAACACTGAACATTGAATTGATACTTTCACTTAAGTTAAAATTTTATTTAAAAATTTTCATTGCACTTAAGCCATAAAAAGTTATGAAAGTCAAAACTTGTGTTAATACACTTTAAATCTTTGAAAATATGAATAGACCTTCGCTAAATTTTATAAATGCATTCACAAAATATTTTTGCAATAATAAAAATATTCGATTCTATTGAACTTAATCGAAACTTAAATTAAATAGGCTTCATGTTGTAAAAATTTTAAGAAACTTTAGAAAAGTTTTACGGCTCAATGCGTCTTTGGAATATCAGTCGGCAATGGAAGTCGAATCTTGGCAAGGTATATAATATTTCTATGTTCTATTGTCTCTTTTCCTTTACGTTATACAAAAGGAATGGTAAATTTAAAATTTACTTTAGAGTTTCAAAAAATCGTTCATTCGGGTACAAAAATGATTTTCAATGTTTATTTCGATACATTTAGTGTTCAAACTTTCTTTTTCAGTTTAAAAATTTAAATGGCAAAAAAAATTTTTTAATTAGACGTTAATTTTGTTCCGTTCCTTTGGGAGGGTTGTTAAAAGAAGAAATGAACTAAAAACGGCTCTTGAAGCGTAACAGCTAAATTGATTATAAATAGAAGTTAAAAGAAGCGAGAATAATTCAAAAGAAATAAGTGGACTAACTTTGATATATATTAAATTTGAGAGGGATGGTGTTTCTGAAAAGAAAAATATAGAAAAGTTTAGTTCTGATAAAATAATTAGTTAACTAATTAAGTTAAAATTGGGAACCTGCCGCTTAAGAAAAAAGTCATATAAAACATTTCGAAAAGAAATACAATCCAATATGATAATTTGGCACACTGGAACCTTTTTACAATTCTTTTACATAGTGATTTAAAATTTTTTGATAGTTTCAGTGCATTATGCTTTCAGACACTATCAGTTTTTAAGACATTGAGCGACCATAAATTTGAGGGGTAAGGGTTGTAGTAAAAATTTCATTCTAAAGAAAATAAAAAAAATCGAAATGAAATTATTTTTATCCTTTTTTAATATTGTTGCCTTTTAAAAAAACTTTAGAATTACTTACTTTTGCAAAAATGAAAATTTCACATGGGAATCCTGCATATCGGCTTAAAAGAACAAAACGCAATATTCAACAAAACAATAATTTTAAAATTTTTAAGCGCCCTTATGCTTTGTAACGAATAAATTTATAAATATTTTTTTTGCAATTGTTCTAAAAGTTTTAAAAAAGAAAAGGTTTCAGGTGCTATAAAGAAAGACACAAATTTTTTTACGTTCTCTTTATCGAGGTTTGTGTTACAACAAAAACATTCTTTTATTTCATTTTGTTGTTCTTTGCCGCACAAAGGTATTTGTTTTTTTTAGTACTTTTCCAAAAAATTTTTGAAAAAAAGCGCTTATTAGTTTTACTCTGTCCGTCCGCCCGTCTATCCGCGAACATGTTTTGAAAAAACAATACATTACAAAATATAATTATTTTTCTTAACTCACGCAATTAATCCTTAAAATCGAGCATTATGTTAACCCCTCTTTATATAAATTTTTGCTTTATTTCAAAAACTGCAGAAATCGTTCATCCTAAATATATGCAATCCTAGAAATAGTTTCGTTTATGAATGAAAATAATTTTCATAGTGTGGTAGGTATATGTACATAGACTACATTTAAAACCAGTATTTCCACTTGTTGAAGGGAAAAGTGCTACAATACAAACCATTGGGTAAACCCAACTTTATTTCTTTTTGAAATGATTTTAACTTTTATTTTTTCTTACGTGGCAGATTTGATGGATTGCTTACATTTAGTTAAATGGGATATTAATAATTTTTTTTGAAAAGTAAAATGATTTGCAATTTTTAACGGTGTGGCTTAGTGCTGTTGTATATTTGCATTAGTATGTGAAGATTATGAATAATCATTTGGGAATATTTTGAACATAGGAACAGAAATCCTGAAAATAAGTTTGGTTAAAAGATATTTTTAAAAAATTCTAAATCAAATATTCAAATCAAAATGTAGAAGTGATAATAAGAATTATTTCAAAATTCTGATATAAAAAATAAGACGAAATTTAAATTTTTCAAATTTCTTTCACATTAACGGTTCCATATTTCGCCCAATTTTATAAAAATGGAAAGAGTAAAATTAATATGGAAGTGTTGTACAATATTTTTCTAGTAATAGGTAGCAACCGAAGGGTAATTTTAGAATTTTTTAATATTATTATGTAATAAAATTTCTTTATTACTTCAAGTTCATATTCAAGCACATTTTCTGAATATTTTGAGCCTTTACATTCACACATAACACCAGTTTCAGTTTCTTCTCCAAAAATGCTATGAAATTGTATGTTAGCGAGCTGAACAAAACAAAAATCGAATTTTTAGCTTAATCTGCAAGTAAAACTTCAATTCGTTTAAAATTAAGTAATTTAATTTTAACTTTTATTGATGATTAAACCTCTTTACTGGAAAATAAACATATTAGTAAATATATAAATAAATTCACATATAGACTGTAAAGCAATGCACTATAAAATACAAGAAAACAATATTCATGAACCACAAAAATTTCTTTTTATGAGTTTTCTTTAGCAAAACCCAAAAGTTGTGCTCATAAGCATTTTATTGATTTTAAAATAACTTGAAATAAAGTTTACATTCAAATAAAAACTCTGTGGTGTGGAATAAAAATAAAGTAAGTTGTTAACTAGTTCACAATTTCACAAACAAAAGTTTATTGTGGTGCCTTTGTATATGCATTATTGAAAACAATAATTGTTAGAGTTAATGAAAGAAATAATTACAGAAATAAATTTTATAGACTAAAAATAGAAAAAGGAAAAATAAAAATAGTTTCAAGCAGGAAAATATTAATCGTTTGTTAAAATTGCATACTTATAGGTGTAAAATATTCATTGGATATTTTTGTAAATTAAAACATTTTAAAATTAAATTTGGAATTGCAATTGAATGCAAACGAGACATAAATAGCTTAAATAATATTTTTTTTGTTTAGATTGTTGAAAAGTAAAATGGCAGCAATTAATTTTTTGCATGAATTTTGAACAGTAATCAAGTAACTTTTACGATTTTTCTTGTAATTTTTGTAGTAAATTATTAAATTTTGACGTAAGTTGCATCAAACAATTTCTGTTTGATATACCAGACTAGAATTTTCTAAACGGTTTTATTATGGCACTTAATTTTACATGTTAAGTTTTTGGCGGAAACGCGAACTTTCATGCTAGGAAAGCGTAAATAAACTATTTTCAAAGAGATGTCTGTTTGTCTGTCTGTGCAGATCGGTATCTCAAGTTGGGCTTAACCGATTTTGATGAAATTTTTTATGAGCTAACTTTGAGGTTTAATCAGCTTTTGTAATATGTTAAACCTGGGCATTTTTGATCATTTTCGATAAGATAATCAACCGCTTAACTCGAAATGTCATAATGAGCTTCGTTGGCCTGTACAAGAAACCACATAACTTTCGGAATCGCAGGCCTTTCGGTTCAGTCAGCAATGACACTTGTGCTACGGAGTAAATTTACATTTTTGTTCATATAAAGAAAAATAATCAACGAATTTGCTTGAAATTTAATATCAAATTTAGAGTGTGAAAACAATGAAACTTTAAATGTTTTGGGAATTTCAGAGCTCGGAACCTGAAACTTCACCAGGGGCAATTTTACATTTGTTACCATAGATAAGTGACTAAATAACAGAATTTCTTGTTTGGTCTTATAAAAATTGTAAAAGAAAAATCTATCTCTATTTTCACTATTATCTCTACACCAGAGATAATAGAAGGGAAAATCTAAACACTTTTCCCCGTTCAAATTTAAAATACCTTTTTAGTAAAAAAATATTATCCATATGCGTTCGATATTTACAAAAAGTTGTAGAATTGAACTTTATAACTATTAATTTTATAAAATTTTCAAAACATTGATCTTAAAAAAAATTTCATAGCTATTTTCAAAAATTCAATAAAGTAACAGAGAAGCTTTTACTTTGTGTCACAATATAATTTTTGAACAAAAAACAACAATATTGCTGCATGTACCTAAATGTATAGAACTTCAAATGGACCGTCATATATGACCTGCAGATTTTATTTGATTATAAAAATCAAATAAATTCTTTTTTTAACATGTAAAATATCAGACAATCAAATAAATTTTTTAATAAAAATGAAAAAAAAAAATACTTTGAAAAGGAATTCATCAAAGCGAATAATAAAAGGAAGAGAGAGAGTATTATATTTTATTAAAAAACTTTTTGTTTTCCTTTTCTTTTTAATAACAAGAGAAAAAAAATGCTTTTCTTTTTTCCTCTTTTAACTTAACTTTATTAATTTTTTTTTGTTTTTATTTTGCAGATGCAGCGGCTGTGATAGTCTTTTTTCATCTCTAATGCTGTTAGAGCATCATAAAGAAGAATTTGAGCATTGGAGTGACGATGAAGAAAATCGACGGCCTTGCTGTCGTCGTAATCGTGGTGATGATTTTACAGATACCGATTCGTTTACCAGTGAAGCTGAAAGTGAAGATCTTGAAAGACTTTTATAAGATGTGCAATGTTTTATTATTAAAACTAATATACCCATGTATTTGTATACATCGGTATGTAATTTCTAAGAAGAATACATATATAGGATTTTGTATGCATATTTACAAAACATATGTTTATGTTTGTCCATAGCATATTAAAAGCTTTTTCCATAGAATATTTGTATTGTATAGGAAAAATTTTTGTTTTTTAATCTTTTGTTTTCATTAAAATTGAAATAAAATATGATATATTAATGTATATGTATATGTATGTAGTATATTCGTGCTTACAATCAAAAGAATCCATAACTGAACTTAGAATTTAATTCTTTATTGGATAAAGAAAAATTTTTATTTTATATAAACATAAAACCCTTAGGAATATTAAATATAATTTCTTGGTAGCTTATAAGAAAAGTTATTGGATAATTGAAAATTTTTAGAGATATTTCTTTAGCAAAAACAAAAGAACAAATCAAGTAGAAATTTGAAATTATTGTAAATTTACAAATATCTATACTTAATTAAAAAAAAATTAAAAATGAAACTGAAAACTGAAGAAAATATTTTTGTACTATTTGAAGAAAAATAGATTTAAATTGCAAATTGCAATCTCTATCATGAAATTTCTAGTATTAAAACAAAATTAATTTTCAGTTTTTTCGGATATTTTACTTATGAGTTGTAATATTTTTCTTCTGTTCATTTTATTTTTTTCATATAAAATAAATTCTCGAAATAACCAATTATTTTTGTAATAATTAAAAAGTATCTATGACCTGAATAATTTCATTATCTCTAAGTTTAACGTATTGTACCAAGATCAATAAAAATTGTGAAGAATAATTTTTTGTTTTGAAAATCATTATGCCAATTGCAATATGTCTGCTTTTAAATATTTTTAAATTTTTTGCTGTATATTAAGAAAAATAGAATTTAAAGTAATAGAAAAAAAAATGTAGTTATATGTACATTTTCTGCCATAATTACATGTTTTAGCAACTGCATTTGGTGTATTGCTTTATGAAAATATAAAAGTATTCTTTTTGGGTATCAAAATATCTTTTAATTATAATAGCTGAGGAAAGCCTATAGGAATTACGATACTTTCGGTACTATCCATATTTCTTAATATCGTGAAGGTCGCGCATCTTAATGTGCAAAAAATCATTAAAATTCAATTAAAATAATTATTCACCTCGAAATCATAGTTCATATAATTCATATATTTGACAAGGTGTCTCATATCTAAGTGCACTGTTATATAAGAAAGCCCTTGTTTTGAAATTTTCAAATCATAATTATTAATTAGCACGTCTAATACAGGAAAGGAGTTATACCAAGAATTTCAAAAAGTAAAAAAAGAAACAATTTATTATAAGTCCCTCTGATTGATTATAAGTCCTTCTATAAATGGGAAACTGTTGATTATAGAACATTATGTCTTCATACAAAATTATTTCTATTCTTATTTCATTTCGTTCTGGGAAATTTTACTACTTAACTAAAACGTTCACCATTTATTCACACTGCAGGAAACAACAGAAACAATTTTAATTGAAAGTAATCAGCATTATATCTTTCAAAAGTTTTCTACAAAAAGTTGTTAGACCTAGGAGATACTAGAATACATCAACTACTAATATTTTCTATAATAACATAAAGCGTAAACGCTATAATTGAACACTTAAGTGTAAGTTAATGCTTTAGCAAATTTAATGTGGCAAGAAAACAATCCCATTCAAATATTCTTATATTAATAATGATATTAAAATTTAAAATGAAAATTTAACATTTATTTCAATAAAATTAAATAGGAGAAGAAATTGAAGAAAATAATTATAGATAATAATTAAAAAGCAATTTTAGACACTAATGTATTGTTCAAAAATTTTTAAGTTTCCTAATAGTTTTAATGCTATTTCGATATTTTTCAATCAATTTTAAAAAATTGTGTTAAAAATAAAGGACATTGTGCCTTCCGTGTCGAAATTGTTGTTCTCACATTTTTCCATAGGAACTTTAGTCTAAACAGAAATAAATTTTCCCAAACAAGCTTTAGGAAATAAAGTTTTGCACATTTTTTACTTTTTTACACAGTAAAACTATTGGAGAAACTATTTTCATCTTCAATTTATATGATATACTGTTATCTCTTTACGATTTATCTCTTTACGACATACGGTAGACTAGTCACCTACCTAGTTAACTCTCTATGACTATAGAAACTAGGGCATGATAGATATCATGCACTAGCCCTATACTCCTCCTAGGAGTGAAGAAGGAAAAAAAAAAAATCTGTTATCCCTAATACAATAGAAGTTTCTTTGACAATATTTGATATTTTCATTTTCTCAAAATTATATTTTAAACAGTTTTCCTTTAGTCAAAATGTTATTTTTACAAATTACATGGCTTTAGAATGGTTACATCTTACATTTCTTTTGATTAACAAAAATAAACTTTGAGAAAAATTAATAAAATCTGGTAAAAATTAAATTCAATAGAATTTCCTTATTCTATAATTGTTCACGATGTCACAAATTTAGAATCGATTTGTGAGGGCATATTCTTAGCAACAAAAGTCAGAATTAATTATTTATAACGAAAACTTATAATTTTACTATTATAATTTAAGCAAAACATTTATCCAATGTATGGGAGTTTAAAATTTGTTTCCTGTGAACAACAGTTTAAATTTTTTTTTTGTTATTCAATAGAACGTATTTTATTTTAAATTTAAAATAGTCATTATAATTTATAACAATGAATACACATAATTTTGTAATAATAATTTTGTACATATATGTAAGTATATGTATAATGAAAACGAGTACATATATATGAATATGAATATTGTATATTGTATAAACTATGTAAAATTAAATGTATAATCACATATCACATTAATATTTAATTTACAGTAAAATGAAAATCAAACAATAAAAATGAATTTAAATTTCAAATATAGTCTATATAATTATATTATGGGGGAAAATAAAATTCTATATCATGCACACAACTTATGCAATATGGAAAATATTGTTTAAAAGAAAAAACAAGAGAAAAACCAATAATATTTTTGAATTGGTGTAAAAATGATTTTGGTTTCTTTTTTTTTCTTGTTAAATCAAATTTAATATATACATATGTAAGTACATTTATAACATTTAGTATTATGACCCTCATCTGAATTATAAAATATAAAAATCAATTATAATTTAATATTAAATTCAATTAAATTAAATATGTTTGTAAAAAATATCCTTTTTAAATTTTTTTTTAATAATTTTACAAATGGAGAATGAAAACCGAATCAGTTTTATTATAAAAAAAAAAATCCAATCATAATTGGGTAAAAGAAATTTTTAATTAATTTTAATTAGGAAAATATCAAAATGAGTGTATGTATATACAAACCATAATGTATAAATGTATGTCGTGTAGACAGTAAAGTGGTTTTTTTTTTTTTTTGAACAAACAGACTTTGTTATACCACACAACTTTGTTTTAACTACAATATGGTCTTAATATCTGTTTTGCCACTTTATATAAGCATAATTGTTTCACGACATTACAATAATTACAGACTTGATGTTTACATTTCATGCCTTCTCTTAAAACAGCCTACTTTTCTTTATCTGTTTAGAAAGTATAATTATTTAAAAAAACAGTTTGGTTTTTGATAAAGTAGGTTTTATTTTTGGATTTTTATGATTTTGCACAAAAAACCATAAAAGTCTTTGAATTTTTACTACTTGTTCGTAAATCTTTCCTTTCATTGTCAAAATATCCAGTCCTGCTAAACATTGTAATGTTCTAGTTTAAATATTTGTAACACAATCGTAGACTAAGAATAGCTTATGCCTAAAATATTCACGTACATACACCTACATACTGAAGTATATTATTAGAATAATAATGTCATCATACAGTAAATTTATATAATAAAAACCAAAACCAAAAAGAAAATAAAATTACAAAACAGAATAAATGGATAACAAAAAAGGAAAAAAAAAATTTAAATGTCATGTTTTTCTTTTTTAACTTTACAGTTTTTCATTTTCATTTTTAGCACTTTTCCAAAAAATTTTTTGAAAAAAGTGCTTATTAGTTTCACTCTGTCCGTCCGTCCGTCCGTCCGTCCGTCCGTCCGTCCGTCCGTCCGTGGACACTTTTTTTGTTTACAAAACTTCTACACCCTTTAAGATAGAAAACTGAAATTTCATACGTACATAGATCTTCACTAGAAACTTATTTCCGTAGAACAAAATTTTTACCTATCTCCCCCCCTGTAGAAGTTATACCCCCCCAAAACCCTAAAAATGGCCTTTTTTAAATATTTGTTGCAATGAAACCATAAGCATTTTTGAAATTTTGCAAACGCAGAAATCCAGCGGCTTGCTTCCCCTAGCGCAGCATACTATACTTGATCTTTAGAAAAACAAAATGGCCGTTCAAATTTACCGTTATCTAAAGTCCTTTTTTTCCAAATTTTTGATGTCGTTTTTTTTCCAAACCCCAGCCTGTAGAAGCTTGAAATTTTAAGAGCTTTTAGACATTATCAAATAGTTCATTTTGCTAGAAGAAAATTTTTTTCCATCTCCACCCCCTCTCAAGTTATCACCTCTTGAAATTTGCAAATTTTGAATTTTTGACACCTTATATTTCCGAAACCGCAAGCTTTTCCAAATTTTTATAAACGCAAAAAGCTACCGGTAAATTCCATGAAATTAAAAAATATAATTATTTCTCTTAACTCACACAATTAACCCTTAAAATCGAGCATTATGTTAACCCCTTTTTATATTAATTTTTGCTTTATTTCAAACACTGCATATATGCGTCATCCTAAATATATGCAATTCTAGAAATAGTTTTGTATATGAATGAAAATAATTTTAATAGTTTGATAGGTATACATAGACTGTATTTAAAAGCAGGATTTTCACTTGTTGAAGGGAAAAGTGCTACAATACAAACCATTGGTTTGACCCAACTTTATTTTTATTTCGTCATACATACGAGTATTCCGAAAAAAAGAAAAAATACCACTAACCTGAATTTCAAATCTTTATAAAAGAGACACGTGACTACAAAGGAAAATGTAATGAAAAGCTTTATTTTTAATGTTATTT